ATTTAAGGAAAAAAAAGAAAGAAAGAAAGAAAAAGATAAACCTAAAAGCTAAACAATATAAATAAGCAATTCATATGCACACAAATATAGTTCTAAAAAATTATGTCTATGTCTCCAGTGAAAATGGAGGGTGCATGAAGGCAAGGGTTTTGTTTTAATTAATCACTAATGAATTATTTAATCACTAACGAATCCAAAGCCCTAAAACAGGGGCTGCAACATACTAAGAGTCCATCAGATATGGAGTTGAATAATGAAAATGAAACTCCTGCTGCCCTCCAAAGAGCGCCCAAAGTTTTGGTCCTCAGTGCACGGCACCCCATTAGTCCTCTTGGAAAGCTAGAGACGTAGGAGTCATCCATGTTCCCATACTTCAAATAGCTCAGGCGTTTCACACTGCTCTAGAGATAATGACAGAAGTTCTCCACGCCGCCACCTTTCCCCCACGCATGCTGTTGCACTGTGCCCCCTGCCTCACAGTGTACTTCCTAGTCTGTTTCTTAACAGTCTATTCTTTTCTCTAGAAGATCCTGGGACATGCTGCATTGCTCCTCCCCACCCTTACTACATGGTTAGAACATCTACTTCCTCTGTACCTCGGGTGAACTGTGATTTCTTCAAGAAGCACCCTTGATTTCCAAGAGCCTTCCTGACCGTCACAATTTGGCCAATTCCTTCCAGAATAGCAGTGTGAACTTTGCTTATTAGTTTTCAGCACTGCGTTTTTGGTTCATTAACATGTACTTCCCAGAGCATCTACCACCTACATAAGTGGATAAGAAAACTCCTGAATGAACAGCCAATATTTGAAAGTGCTCTCCCTGATGACCAAACCAATACTGTAAGAGTTCTGCTCTTTAGTAAGTTTTATGAGACAGCACTGGTTCAGGGTGAAAATCATGGGCTCTGAGGGCAAGCAACAGGAATTAAAGTATACTCTACCACGTGACAGTGATGTGACCTCTGTCTCACTGTCTAAATAAGCAAAGTACCAGACCTCTACCTTCCATAGCCATTCTGTAGACAAACGAGTTATTATATGTAAGATGAAAGTATCCCAATTGCTGCTGCCCCATCGTACTTTCACAATGCAAGGGGAGTGGAAGTTAACAGAGGAAATTTCTGGACACTGTGATACTATAGTCTCCCTAATTCTCACAGTGAAAAGGGATGTAAGGTGCTACTAATCAAACTGAACAATCGGAATAACTTATTGCAAACTGAAAGACTTCTGGGCTTAATTTTATATATAACAATAGCTTTTATAAGAAAATAAAGAAAAAATGTGACTGTCAAGTTTAATGACATACCAGGCATCAACAGATAAACAATAATAAATACCCAAATCTAGTTCCTAGTACAGATCCTGGCAATGCTGGTGGTAACATAGTCACATGAGATTTCTAATCAAGTTGTTAATATGAAACCTGCCTATTTCTGAAAAGTTTGCCGTTCAAATGTCAAAACCATATTGTGCGCCCTATAAGGGAAAGATGGGCATTAAAATGTTGAAGGACATGGAGTCTTCAAAAAATTAATTCCACAACAAATGAAAACAATACACATGAACCCAGCTGGAAACACAGGTGAGATCACCCACCGTGGCAGGGTCAGGCCTGCGCGCGCTGCTCCCGGGAAGCTCACACCTTGCAGGTGGCAGCCAGCTCCGAGGCCGGGGCAGGAAATCCACAGGGACAATGAGTCCTCACTGGACTCCAACTGTCACGGCTCCTTCCATAAACGAGCGCACACACAAGCAACAGGAAATAGACACCCTGTCACTCATTCATCCAACACACGTTCAATGAGGTCCTGCCGTCAGGTGGGCTCTGTTCTAATCACTGGGGTGGGGAACCTCCCCGCACCCTGAAAACCCCCACTGTGCACTCTGGAACCCACAAACAACCACAAGGAAATCTGCTCCAGGCTTCTGAACCTCTCCTCTGAACGGCTCCTACTCTGCTTCAGCCATTTACTTACACCCGCGATTATACGTGAAGTCATCCCTGAGCCTGTCGCATTTGCCCTGCATGTCTCCTTCCCTCGTCCTACTGGACCTCCCTAACCAGCTCAGCCTCTGCAGATGACTGCTGTAATCACTTCCCTGCATGCACCCTGACTCCCTTACCACCACTTTGTCATTCTCTCTGAACGCGACATATGACAAACCCCAGTTTTATAAATCCAATTCTACCTACCCCGTACCTCTGCAACCAAGCATCCCTGAAGAAAAACACACAGCCCACCCCATCTGTCTTACACAGCATGTGTGAGGACTAACCTAAAACGGCCCCTTAACGTTGTTATCATCACAGACTCAAAAACTAAAGAACAACAAGCCTGGCAAGGCTTCCACATAGGTGGTGACAACACAAATCCGTACAACCACTGTGTTAATCAGCACGGAGCTTCCTCAAAGACTAAAAATAGAAATTCCATGTGACCTAGCTATTCCCCTTTCGGGTGTCTTCCCCCAAAATTAGAGACATCGTATACAGCGACACCTACACGCACGCCCTGTTGAGCAGCACAACTCACAACAGCTAACTCTTGAAAATGGCCTGTGTGCCCATCCACAGATAAACAGAGAAACCGTGGTACACGTACACAACGAAATACCACTCAGCCGTAAAAAAGGGTACACTGAGTCATTTGTAGGAAAATGGATACACCCTGAGATCATAAGGCTCAATCGGATACAAAAGGTTACATACTGCAGGGTTTCTCTTACAAGAGAAATCTGAAGTATAAACAACTCAGAGGGCACAGGAAGAGACAGATGAAGAAACGGAGGGAGACTACCTGGGGAGGAGGACGGGATCTGGTGGAGAGGGAGGGAGGTGAAAGGGTCACGACGTGATGTGTGCACCAGCTCCAGCGATGAGCGCACGCACTGTGCGTCCCAGACACACGCTCACGGGGCACCGATCACCCTGTGGTCGCTCCATCTCCCCGGGTCCCGTCTCCCTGGGTGGCTCCGTCTCCCCGGGTCCCGTTTCCCTGGGTGGCTCCGTCTCCCCGGGTCCCGTCTCCCTGGGTCGCTCCGTCTCCCCGGGTCCCGTCTCCCTGGGT